AGGTGGCCAGCACGGCCTCGATTCTCGGCGTCGACATTGTAGGCACTACTAAAACCTGTCATTCCCGTTTCCCTAGTCTCATTAACCCCAACCTCTACTTGCGGGCTCTGCGCATTGTGTGATTTCTCCGAAAAACAGATCTATTGGTACGCTGCCAGAAATGCGTCTCAGGCGTCTCGGTCTTAGACACTCCAAGTACTTCAGTCAACTTGGCGTACGAATCGCCTTAACCCGCTTGAAAGTACCCGATGTCGCAGTTCTTCGGACGTTTACTAGGAACACGCTAGATTCGAGATTGACCCCCCAAATTATCCTGCAGTGCTCGTTTACCGGACACGAGCCGTTATTCCATTCCTCCTGTATTGACAAAGGAATAGGATACGGTAAACCGGTATCTTTCTAGGGAGACCATTCGTACAGCTTCTCTTTAAAGCTTCCCCGCATCTCCCCGCACCAATCTCAATAGAACCAACGACGGCTGCTCCTTGCACATATCGACTCGTCCGCCTTACGACTTAGTTATTTTCGTTGCTGTCGTAGCCGCTCGCCTCCTCAACCTATCATTTGGGCTTTCTCTCGATGAACTGTGTGAGCGACTTTTCCAGGATTCGGTTACCATAGCCCCCAAAATGAAGACAACCAGCTCAACCTTGTTGTTGATTCGCAGAAAAAGCCACTTGTTCTATACTTATATCGCTGTGGACAGGTATCATGCATTGCTTCATATTATAATATTTGCACCATTAACATATACATAATGACAAATTGTTTAAGTATTATTGTTAGTTGATCCAGACGTATCTGACTCCGTTATGTACACAGGAATATAAACGTACGTTTTGTTGGAAAAAAATGTAATTGACACTCGCAATGGGTTATTGCTAATGAAACTAGAACGATAATGAAACGTTTACTTCGAAAATTGTCTGCAATTATTAGTTTAAGTCACTTAAAAGGCAACAAAGCGGTAAAGGTCTAATTTCGAAAAAAGAATTACACTGTGGATTATACCAAGTGACCCTGACTTCCGTAAAAGATATGAATCAAGCTGTAACACGTCCGCCAAACCGTCTTCAAGAAATTTGAGGGAATTTATAGATCTCAGTGTGAATGCACTGTGTGTGGGTGTGACCCGTCATAATGGACCACACAGTTACACAGTGCCTCTGTCTTGTGATTATCCTTGTATATAATGTCATTAGGTAGTTCGCCTTACGTCCGCCTCGCAAGTCACACAGCTGGGTTTTCAAAGTAAACCTGCTGAGCAAACAAAGGACTCATAAAGCGATATATGGTTTATAGTCATTAGAGTTAGATCTGGCTTGCAGATCCACTGTCGTATATTTGATCTGCATACGCATCCTAATCCACCATCAGAAAGAATTGTACTTTCTTCTATTATACTCCCAAAAAGATAATTAGGAACCAGCATGCTGTTTTGACAACTCTTTGTAGGCTGGCTGTAAAAAAAATTTATCGAAATAACGGTAGACGAACCTGCTTGCTATCGCCATTTCCAATTTTATGGCGCTTTTGATTTCTGTCCTGTGCTTGAAGTTTATCAATATATAAATTGTTTTTTTTGGCCAGGAATTGCTTCAGTATAATCGGGGTAGAACGTAGTTTTTTGCTGCCTGTATCTGCGTCGTAAACGTTGTGTCTTGCTCGTATCTTCCTCCGTGGAGCTTGATAAGCGCATAATAATGCTAATTAATTAGCAAAAAGTCACCTGAACGGTCATATGCCAAAAATGCAATGGTTCGAACTAGAAAATTAAATAATCTGATGTAACACCTACGTTTCGCATCTTATCATATCCGAATTGATGGACGACAGTACAATACAAAGTGTGTCTACCAAATAATGTTTCTCCATTGAAATAAATCGTAGATTCCGTCGAAAATCTAACTAGACCTATAAAGTCTATAAAGATAAATATATATAAAAAGGCCTATAAATCCGCATGTTTGCGTTTTACCTGTCGATTAGATAATGGACCTATTAGTGAATCAAACACACAGACATCTAACGAAGATTAGGCTATTGAAAATCATTGTCACGCGCCTATTTTTGCGAGTCTGGCTTTACTGCTTCAATGAAACGTCTATTTATCAACTGCGGCTATCGTTTCTAAGGGATGGCTCGGTCGAATCTAAACCTGTCTTGAGCTTGTTCCCCGAGTGGGCAATGCCCAACTCGTGCACAATAAAGCACTTCACAGCTGCGTGAATTCTACACTACTACTAAATAAAGCTCTTGAGTAACACGACCGAAAACCAGTTATTAGAAACGTAGCGAACTATGTTTTCTTATTATTATTAGCAAATTCTATGTAATTGTCATATTTTGGAAGCTAAAAAAGTTAGCAGTATGTCGATATAAACGTGTCGTACTTTCATACGACTTGGATAAGCATTTGTAAAGGCTATTCTGTGCAGGCGGGTGGGGGGTGTTTAGGTAAGATCGGAAGGATTCAATGTAATCCTTTCGCACATCGTCACCTGTAGCCTAATGTTTCTCTTAATGTATCCACATTACACACTGGTGACGCTGTGTGAAGCTTCTGATAAAGTGGTAACGCCATGCAAGCAAATATTCCAATGTATTCTTGTATATACTGGTGTCATGCATAATTTTACTGACCGACATAGGAATTGGGCGAGGTCTATTGCCAAGAAAAATACAGTACGAACAAACACATTTTCGTTTCTATAGTTGAAGTTAGAAGTTCTGTTTTTTGACTGAAGAACATTTTGTTCCGCATACTACTTCTATTTAATCTGCTGATAACTTATGCTAAGATTAACTGGAGTGAGAGAAGATTGTTAGTTTTTAAGAACGAAAATGTTACTATTTCCTATTAGCGCGATCTGTTGTCATCTACGGGAGTCTACAAAGTGTGACACTGCGTGTTAGGGAACGAATTCAAATCGTTCCAACTAATTATATTAATAAGAATATATAATATTAGATATTCAGTTTTTTAGGTAAAAATACATTGACATTTCTCGTTGCAACATGTATTACAATATTGTGGTACAATCTACAGTATAGGTGAGTGTAGATGCTACAATATACTATGGTACGTTTGTTCACGTGGAAACCGTTCAAATAGGCGATAGGAGAAATTAGGAACTAATTGTTTGTTTCTATTAACACATCCTTGATCTAATTGGCGATGCCTACATAGATGGGCAAAGGCATCATTAAATATTATTATTATTATCAATTTAGACAAAGCACTGATTGTTATCTTTTGTTTTTTCAATCTGCTCAAGACGTTCGTTTCAGGTCGATACTACTCCATTTGTCACATTAAACAGTTCCTGGAAGCAAGTAATAAGAACATTTCAATACGAAATTATATGTATCCGATTGCAATATGCTGCACAAAAAATTTACCGGCATATCTACAAATCTATCGTTTATCGACATGACGACGCAGAAGGACTACTGACAGAAAAAAAAAAAGAAAATTTCTTGCAGATTGGATGATATTGATAGCATTGGCTAACGTTTGAGACCTCTGAAGTCTGTACGAGCCGCGCTCCCATCCGATATGAAAACTTGTTCTATACGTTTTATAACGTTTAAGTTACATAATGTATTAAGTACATAGACACATTTAGTTATTGGCGATTTGAAACAATAATTAATATATTTTGTTTGCCTGCTCCATGTTTAGATAACTAACTAGTTCTGAAGAAGCAGCCAAGCTTCAAGAGACCTAAAGCGAGCCTTTGGCCATCTTAGGCTCTTACTGATAATAATTTGAGAGACATTTACATTTCAAGAAGCGTTATAGCTCTGCCGTTAAGCGCTGCAACGGTTAACCGTAGTTAAATAAACCACCAAATAGCTAGAGCCGTTAAACTGACGAAAGGGGAATGAAAAGCTATACTTCAATAAGGGGCAACAAAAACTCTACCTCCAGGTTCGAATCGCTCCATTAAGCTTAAGTGTCCCACGCTGCAAGCTTGCATAATAAGACATATTACCGTTAATAACTTAGATTTCATTAATTTTTTTTTTTATGTCTAAATGCTAGATCTTAATATTAGAAGAATTCACACCTGGGTCCACATTACCCCTTCTGGCTGTAATAGAGCTCCTATTTACCTGAGAGGTTCGTTTTGCCATCAGCCCGAACGCTGAGTTGATAGTAACATTTCATATAGGAATACTAGTTAGCACACAAAATATGAATATTTTCTTTGAGACTAGCAGAACTACACAACTCCAAGTTAGCGTCTGTTTGTTACATCTTCGAGGAAGATCCCTTCACAGAAACCTGTAGGCTTATTTTTATCTGTGTAGCAAATCCAATTCTATCAAGTTTATTCACAATGCTATCAGAAATCAGAGTATCTTATATCTGATGTAGTGTGTGTGTGTGTGTGTGTGTGTGTGTGTGTGAAAAACAGTACACGACGCAAAAACCTGGAAGGCAGTAAGGTATCTTTAACAAGTTATTCGTCTCGTTAGACCCTCGTCCACCTTTTCGTCTTGACCAGTGTCATACGTAAGGTAACCTGAATTGTTTTTACAGAGCAGGACAGCGGTCAGAGGCCTAGGAAGGCGCGCGCCTTTTTGCTAATTCCAGCCAATTGATAATCGTCGGGGAAACGCAGATGTACGAGTAGCACCGTTATTTTTGCACGAAACTTCGTTATTTTCTATTTTAATTGGCTATTGCTTCAGACAGAACTCAGTTCACGTACTTTTTTTTTTTTTTTTTTGCTGAAACTACATCTCATTCCTTTGGGTAAATAGCTAAATACTGTAAACGCACTAGTGCGATATGAATGTGTGTTGAAGTATACGCGGTCGGGTTGGCAGGGCATTTCAAGGCCCGTCTAGGGGCCTAAACATGTGAATAGAACGCCTAACGAATAATGGTTATTATTGGCTCATAACTATGTCATAAAGACGACAACTACTAGTTCTTTTGCTTAGACATCATGGAGATGTAATTTACAGCGCGATCCTATTATAGTTACCATAGTGGCAGGATTGATGGAGCCAAAGCTTCTGATGTAGACTTCACACGAAACATTCGTGGGTCCGCCGGAACCTGCAAAGGTGGGCAAACGATTGTGCAATAAGTATATATTTCATTTGAAATCCAACTGGACGAATATTCGGCATCGTTTAATAGCGGATATTATTGTAACATTACGGTGGTGTCTATTTTAAACTTTCTTTTTTTTTGTAACTCGCTCTCATTTTCGTCTATTGGGTGCAACTTCTTAGAAGTACTGCAAAGACCTGTCAGGGCAGAGGACCTAATATGATCGGCCATGGTAATGAGAGAGTAGAAATAGGTGCTATTAGTCGCTTCTCCATAACTTGTGTTCACCTGTAATGTCTTCCGGCTCCTCAGATTTTTTTCTGCCTTTTGGTCTTCCTGAGGCATATACGCGTCGAAGAAAAGCAACTTTGACACTATCCCAACATGTTAAGGTGCCAAATTCTGTAATCTACCGAAAACGGCCCCGATTTGAGCGAAAAAAATAGAGACTTATGGGGAAGATACTGATGCACATATTAAATATCAGCTTTAGCAACAAGTTTCTCTGTTGTCAAAGCAGAAATTACAAATAGCAATCCTGTTAACAGTAGAGCTGCGCTACCTGGTGAGATATGTGGCGATCTGAATTCGAGTATCCCCGCGGGCAGACTTCCTTTCGTCTTGGGAGTCAGCCGACTGACCGAATGCTTAACGTCCTGCTTTTTCTTACATTTGAATAATACATGCAATGACAAGGATAGCCTCTACTTGTTTCAAAAACACGCTATGACTTAATTAGCTGTCAATCTGTATTTGCTAACTTGTCTCGGACGCGCTCACTGCACATTCATTTACTCCACTTAACCAGAATATGATCTTAGCCAGTGAGGAGCTTGTTTCTATTGAAGATACCGCGGGTGTTCTTCGATTCCGCTCGACTTGAGAATAAAGCCGTAAGGTCAAGCTATGTGTTTAGCGTCATTGGTATAAGATTACCTACTTTAGGTAACCTGTAACATTTGAAACTGCAACGTGGTTGGTCCACGTTGTCGTTGGCAGTAATCGGACTACATCAGGACAAAGGTGACACGTTTCAAGATCCTGATTTTCCTCTTATTAGAATTCAATTTATTTCCCTTTACGTTCGACATCGTGCCAATAATCGCCGTAAACATTTCGGTTGTTCTGCTTCGACAAAGATGGACCGGAAGGTTAATTTGCCTTCGCTATAAACCTTAGCTAATTGTTGCACCTGTTATATTTTTTTTTTGGGTTTTGCGATCCTAAACGCTACCACTGTCGGTGCCAATATTCGGATTAGGCTTTGGACACAGTATAAACATTGTAGTGAGTAGGATATGTTTTGATCTTCATCTAAATACGATTGGCAAGTATCATTGATCTAATACGTGTGATGCCGTTCTTCGTCCTACGGCCTGCACTAGAGCTTCAAAACAAATAAGCCTTGAGCTTACATTACATCTGTGGAGTCAGCTAGTAAGACTACTACTAGCTGTAGTAAAGCTTGTGTTTCGCATTTTTACAGCCAACTTACCTAGTGAAAGCCGCTTATTTTCATAATCATGTCAATTAATCGACAGCAGTCAAGATTAATTTATTCGTTTGTATTTTACAAAACTTTGTCCTTTTTTTTTCTGCCAAACTTGAAGGTTATTTTCATGGACCGCTGCTACAAGGATCGTGTCTACTAGCTCCCGAACATTATCTCCGAAGTTACATGTCTCTATTGTATCCATTTGCTATGCCCCAAACATCTAACAGGCCTCTTTATCCGTTGCTATTTCTGGGTTAGCTGGTTGCTATTTCTATATCGATTTGTTTTTGTATTCTATTGCGATTAAATCTATTTCCCAATAAAAAAAAGCCGTTGACGAGGCCGTTTACGTGTCGGCTAGTTGACAGGTGGAAAAGCAAAGAACCTTGTCGAGGCAACGGGCAGGACTATCATTATTGCTGCGAAACCTTAATTAAGGTTAGAGCGTACTTGACACCTCATATAACTGTCTCATTCACATGATCGCAGCGTCCCACAAAATAATTTTAGTATTATATTTGTCTGAAGGTTGAGCTGATCGGGAAAAGGATTACTGTAGCCTATGATTTGGAAAATAAAGTGACTTACAGGCCATACGAGTTTACGCTAGTTTCACTGTCGTTTCGTTGATAAAAAGGTCTGGCACACGAACATGCTCCAATGGTTCGAAGGAGCCGTCCTCTTCGTTTAAAACGCATTGAAGGGCCATTACCGGCATGCAGTGAGGCACGCGCAGGCTTTTCTGAACCGCACAGAAAAATACGACTATCCCCGTATAGTAAATTGCCGATGTAAGAAAAGCATATCCTAATGGTAGCAAAACCGGCACATATGTGTCTAGGTATTTCGCTTCGGAGTCATTACTGCCGCATCATTTCTGTGCTCGCCCATAGAACTGTTGATAAGGATTCCTGTTATTTGCCAATAGCTGAACGAATACGACGTCGTGACCAAACAAATATTATTATTTATCGTTAACGTGACTACACCTATTAGAGAGCAATTACCATTTTCCCGTTGCTTAGTCAGTGCGGTTACTTCTCATCAGTTTTTGTACCACTTGACGATCTCACTTGATTAAACGCAAATAGGTAATCCGTAACAATGGTGTTTCCAGGAATGAGGGAAGAAGCCTAGGCTAAAGTGAACGACTACACACGAAGTGGCCGACGTGAAGCTGAGGTAAATTGAAACACTCTCAGACGTCCTAATCTCTAAGGTGGACAAATTTAGCTAAGACGCTCGTGTCTCTCGGAGAAGGACCGCTTACGAAAGCCTGCGGAAATTCGCTAAATCGAAAGCCATCAAATCCGGCAATGGCGTCAATGACGCCAAAAACGAATTACGAACGAAATTGCGATCGAAATTACCTACCAATAAAAGTCAATGTTTTACTAAATACGAGAAAATTCATTCTCGTGGAAATCACAGATATACAGAAGTCAGTGCTCGCTGATATAGGCTAGTACCCTCAAAATTTTTCTAGACATAGGTAACTCCATGGCTGGCATTGATTTAAATGATAGATCATGACACATATTGTATTGGTCTCGTAGGCGAAACACTCACACTGTATATGATCCTGCCACGTTATGCACTAGCGTGCCATAAAGATGCTAAAACGTATGTACGATAGGATGACTCGGAGGAGACACCTTCTATATGCCATGATTTATCACAAGGGGAGCCCGAGCGCCTTCTGGTTTAGTAGCCCAAGTGATCGGTCGGTCGGTCGGTCGGTTGGTGTGTCTGTGGAGAGACATTGCTGTGGCAATAAGGGTAGCTTTTTGGGACTTACATGTTAACTTAAAATTGAAAATGGGTCAGAAAACATTTTGCGGGTAGTCGCCGATAGCATTACCGCCAATAATCTTAAAATGGCCACACAGACCAACAGCATGCGTTCAGTTTACTTCACTTTACGACTACGTAAATCGATAGAGAGGAAATCTGAATTACAGTGAAAGCGGAACCTTATAGTATTGGACGGAATACGCATGCCTTCAGATCAGTCACTCCTAAATTTCAGCAACTTTTATTAGATCTGTCCATTCATCTTTTAATGTCTTTTAATGTAAAACCTATTGATACTTTTATCTTTTGAGTGCAACTTGTTTCTCACACATATCACATGGTTTTTTTTAGTAAGTTTTAATAGAATTTTATCAAATTTTATCAAAAAATGTAATGCGCACGTGTAAGAGGTAGGCATAAAAACGTTGTACTACACATGTAGAACTGTAACATAATTTTAATGTACAAACGCTGTACGTATAAGGTTTTACGCAAAAACGTTTGTATTTGTTTCTCTAGACCATAGATCTATATATGAATTATGACAAAATGGTGACTGCCTAGTGCAGTGTCCTTATTCAAATATGATCATTTTTTAGTAAAGCAAATACGAGCCAGATGTTGCGGGCTTTACCCAACATGTAACGTTATTCGACAGTGAGTGTAGACGTATACGATCCTCCTCGCTTAGAAACGTTCGTGCAAAAGTACTATTGACGTACACACGAGATTCGCATTGCTGCAATCATTCTTTTTCTCGTTTTTTTTTTTTTTAGATAGTTTTACGTAATCCAGTCTATCTTTTATCTACAGCAGAAAACAACTCGCATGAATGAGCGGATACGTCGTGACACATCATATCTGATTGTAATGATTTTTGAGGGCAGTTGTTTACCCTAACGTGTCGGAGGAGATATTTAGTAACTGAAATTTTTAGTAATCTGGATGATGAGGTTTTAGAGAGAGAACTTCAGATGATTGTGAATTTATAGTCTAAAACTTAACATGTCCATTGGAAACAGGAGTAACGACGTTTGAAAACGTAGGGGCTAGACAGACAGCGCACTAGGACAAGAACTAGAAGGCAGTGACTGGTAAGGTTAAACGCAAAGATGGGGCTCATGGGTTGAAAAATATCCAGAAGAGCATCAAAGGAACGGTCAAGAGCGTTGGATGAGACACGAAAATTGTCGAAATTGGCGTGCTATGGCTAGACTCCCAAAACACCGCCCAGTTGCAGATGTAAGACAACACGGATGTATCTTATTGTTTTAGAAAAACGCCTAAGTACCTTTAAGTGGAACCGAGCAGAGATCACGCGTAGGTAAAGAAAGTGGTTGATATGGGTTTACCAACACAAACTATTAGTGTAAATAGAAATACAAAATAAGGACGCACAATGGCTAAATTGACCGACTGATTACCTAACACGGGGCATACCAGAACAGCGAGAAGAGATCAGGAGTACCCAGCATTATTTGCGCAGCATCGCGTGCAGTTCCAGGAAACAAAGTAAACACTGAGTATAATGGAGAGATAATGATAAGCCCATTTGTGGCTGAGTGCTTTCATTTCCCTTGTGAACGGGGGACGCGATAGTTATATCACTTACAGTGACCATATATAGGTGAATCGGCAGAAACTAAAAAAAAAAAGTTCTGTAACCTTCGGACAGATAGTTATAAATACAGTTGCCAAGAGGTTTTAGAAATGAAGTATGCTGTTATAAGGTTCGTTTAGAAGAATTGTTTGACTACCTTAAAATTTATCATTAGAGGGAAGCAGGAAGAATGGCGAGGTAAAACAATCACATATTGATTATCGTGATATAAGGCCAGATCTGAAGAAGCAGGTGCGAGCAGCGTTTCCGGTAGCAAGTAACATTGTTATATAGGTTTTGTGTTGCCTTACCTGCAACGCGATAAAATGAAGACGTGCGAGGATCCCAACATGGCGAGACTCTCACAACAACAACGTTGTAAAAGCGTATAGGACAAAATACAATTTGCTTCTAAACGAGAGCAAGGGCTTCCCTGTTACGGCGACGAATCTTCGCTTTCGACGCGTGCCCCGCGCGCCACTTCGACGCTACACAAGCTATTCAAAAGCGAGTAAAGTTGCTAAGCTGTTACGAAGCCAAGCAGAGGATCTCACTTTCTATTGTGGTAGTATTCCTTTGAGAGACGCTTCGTAAATTTTACATCAGACCATGTATTGCACTCCTACTTAAGCTGGTAGTGAATGCTGTGATCAATGCTGTTAAAAAGAACATACTGCTCTGCTATGAACCGAAGGCAAAAGCGTACAAATGTCGTTTAAAAGATGACCTTGGAGAGAGCGGATTGGATAGCTTTGCTGGAGCATTGCGATGTCACTATTACGACCCATAACGGCTACCAATAGCACACAGCGTATAATACTGCAAAAGTGCATGAACTATCTTATATAGGAAAGTAGATACTGCGTTTATTCCGCTTTGGCGAACACATGCCGCCGCCATTGCAAACGTCTGTCTGATTCTGTGTGGGCCGCAAGGAGCCGATCAGGAGACGGCTTTTAATGTAGGAGCATCACTTCCATAGCATTTCGTAAAAATTGTATGAAACTATTCGATCCAGATAAGAACCTTTATGACTTTTCATGTAATTTGGCCTTGCTTGTTTGGCGAAGCAGAACAAGTTTATGCCGACTGAAATACTAGTGCTAAAGAACGTTGTCATTGAAAGGCAGTTGTAGGTATGTGGCCTATTTAGTTTTTTAACCTATCAGCTCGCCTGCCATCCATGGTATTTTCAGAATGGTTACTGTCTGTAGAGCTTGCGAACACGGGAAAGCAAACCAGGTTTAGGATATATTCTCAGAATATGATTGAAAGGCAGTTATTGCTAATGTCTTCGCTGTTTATAAACCGATACAAATACTTGCGACTGACGATACTACTGCTGCTAGTCGCCAGCTCTCCAAGTATCCGGAGTGAGAAAAGTAATGGTTCCTGCGAAATTTACCGACCCGACTATATTTAACATTATTGCAGGTTTAACTGTACTATTGTGATAAATTGTAATAAATATCGATCGCGGCAATATTTGCTGAATATAATAACTAAAGACTCGAGTTACTGGGCTCGAAAGCCCGCCCAAAATGACAAACTAAGTCTCTTCGAATTCGATGTGGAAATTAGAAACTGTTTTTGGGTATACAATATCTCTTCGTAGGAGAGAATCTTTATCGCCAGTTGAATAAGGCCTATAGATAACCATTAATGATTGGCCGTTCTTTACTCCTTACACTTATTTGCAACGTTTGAACTTTTGATTAAGTTGTACAAACGAATTCAAATTGTTTAACTTTGAAATTAGCTAGACTAGGATGGTAATTTTGTTGTATCTGTTAGAAATGTTCCCCTTCATTTTTTTGTACACTTGTGCCAGCGCCCCGCTAGCTTCACATACGTGATGTTTCCACCGACATCAATCGATAATGAACTATGCTTGCTCGCCAACTACCCTTTTTAAAGCACGGAAAGCCTATAGCAGACAGCATTCATTATTTAATTTTGGCGAACATCTCCTTTATGGTCGAGTATTATCATTATCTTACGTCTGAACCTATTAAGGACAGCCACCAGACTCAATTTCACTTTAGGGCGATCCTATTTTTTTCGCCTGGTTCCTTTTCGGCTGGCAGCAATGATTAAACCATGTCTCGTGATGGCGACCGCATGCTTCGTGCGCGTTTTTTGCAAATTGCACGTAGAATACATCACTCGCACCTCTACCGTTTTTGAGAAACGGAAATTTCACTGCTGAGCAATTATTACCGATACTAGAAAACTTTTTTCCTCTAAAATGTTCATTTTCCTGGAGCGAACTGAGGCGGTTTTCAGGTGCAAGTTTCTAGAAAACTGTAATATTTACCTGCCAAATTTCGTCTGCTAGCGATGCGTAATTTAAAAGTTATTTCATTTCCGTTTAAATCAGTCGCTGGGTTATTTCTTTAGATAAGCCTTTTCCTGAAGTGTTTTTAGATGTGAAGCAAGAATAAAGCCACGGTCTTTGTTTTTGTATGAATGTGTCGTCCTTAAATTATGTGCGAGGCTTCTGAGGACCTATTGGCAAAACCGTTTAGAGTAAATATTAGTTCGAACGATGACAAAGGGTTTGTGCCTATTCTAAGCTGATGCCATGGCTAGCTACATATGCGAAAAAAAAATACGTAACTATAGATGTTCTCAATATATGCTGGACTTGTGAAACACTCGCAGATAAACCTTTTAGACAACTTTGTGACATTCTCTGGAACTTCAAGTTTTTAGGGGTTTTTGGCCGACAGTCGGCTCACAATTCAGATAAACCGGATTTTATATAGAATGTGTATGAATGAGACTCCAACAAGCTTGTAGGTAACACTTGTAATAATAATTCAAGCCTGTAATAACGCTTTCATTTTACTCACGATCAGTATTAAAACATGTACGCGAATTTAAAGAAGTACTTAGCAAATCAAACCGTCATTGTGACGAACGGCAACCGCAATGAATAAGCACGCTGGGGGGGCAAGGGATCAATGCATATAGAATATCGCCGACGTCACTTAGACGTCTGCTTTCAGGTAAAATACCATTTAGTGGAGCTTTTATTTACTTGATGTAAAGAAACCTGATAAAAACATCGTAACAGTATTGCATTATGTGTATTACGACCTACTGGAAATTATGCGTAGAAAGGGTTTAGTAAAAATTGGCATTATCTATTAAACGTTCAGCTTCATACAAACCGTTTGTTTACAAAGAGCCCGTGTCGGATTATTTCTTCTCCTTATTTTAAACCCTATTTCACTGCAGAAATAGAAAAGCATACGTCATTTAGTGTATTGAAAAATTGCCCCTTATATCTCTATGAAATGCATCGTATTTTCAGATATCTCTTCCACATAAACGCAATATATTTATACTTTTCTTACCGTCGTGATATCCTGAAGGCAAAGCCCGGCGATCGTAGCTTTTTAAGGTGTTGTCCAATTTGTCTAGATCCGAGACTGTTCCGTACTTCCTGAAATGAGCGTACGCAAACATTGACGACACATTTCATTACCACAAAAGCTGGGTCCATTTGATCATTGAGCGGCCCGCAAAAAGCATAGCACAATGAAGCGTCCACTTACTGACCCAGTTATCTTATGTATGTAAATTGATAGATAATTGAATTAACCTGAACTAAGCTTCAAACCGACCAGATCGTACAACGACATATTGCAGGTCTGAACTGATGCATAGGTATAGCTACTTCAAATAAGTCCATAGATGGCAGGGAGGTGATGTCAGGTCATAAACAAAATGCAAGTCTATTGGCGTACTCATGGATAACTTCAATAGCGGTCTAGATAACCGATTACGTTCTTGCTGTGGCATTCTGAAACTAATGGCGGCAACACGATAGCAGGGAAATCACACCATTAAGCTAGCTTCTGCTGCCAACAAAAGCTTTTTCTCTCCTATTGTCTCACTATGTATTCGATGAGCGTGAAGGTAAGTTGATAAAATCATTACACATTTTTAATAGAAATACAATGATTCATATATAATATGATGGCTTACGTAATGCAAGGGTCTCTCATAACGAAACCTCTAGATGAGACGGGCTGACAGGTGACTATTGATATAAAAATAATATTGGCACACGCTTCTCAGCGAAAACCGCTTGTGCGGGTGTGCATAGACATTGAAAGTTTCTGTGCAGTTATCTACCTATCAACATTGTATTATACGAAGTAAAAATCGTTCACATTTATATCTGCTGGTTAATATAGTTTGTAGTTTCGCTAAGAAACACTTCGTCGTTTAGGGCGTTCTGGGGGGTATATTTCGTTTGTCGCTGATACGAATCCATTATTTGCAGTCGTATTTAGGCGTTTTTATTCATAACAACAACCATCTTATTCAGTGTGATTACGCTGAGAACTATAACAACTGATATAAATGTAAAATAATGAAGTAAAAATAGCTAGAAATAGTAGACGCATACTCGACTAGGAACCCGAGTGCCCTACCTGTCTATATATTGTCGTGTGATTGCCTGTATAGGGCAAGCATAAAAAGAATAACATCCACAGAACCTTTCTAATACAAGGATAACAATAACAAACACTGGCAATGACAACACCAGGGCATGCAAGGGCACACTGCGGGTCGGCTGAGAAGCTCATGCATCCAGGTTAGGCATGGCCCATCCCCACAAAGAATCGATCTCTTTGAAGCTGCTATGCGCCGCACTACGACGTAAAACATGCTCAATAGTAAGTTCCGTTTCACGTTACGCTATTATGCTGTGTACCGAATTGAAGGTAAAAACACTATAAGGCCCGCACAGTGGCTCTGGAACAAGCCTACCAGGGGATGGGCCTGTGGCGTTCAACCTCAGAGCGTATGTAGGTTACTCGTCAGACATGAAAAAAAAACTGTGTCTTTGTCCACACGTTTCCCGCTATAATATTGTCTTGTAAAGAACAGTGTTTTTTACATTAGGATAATATTTAGGTTCTGCCTGCAGACCTCACATGCAGGTACTTGCTATGGTAGTCTGGTACTTTTTTTATAGCATTTTTTATGGGGTTCTTTCTCTTGCAGGCATTCTCTGACTGCAGTAATAGAATCCATATAATACTATAGAACCCATTATATTCACTAATAGAATTCATTATATCCCCCTGTGTTTGGTATTAAAGCGATACTAATTAATTAGTGCTTCGATTCTAATAAAGACGAGAAAGGATAACGTTCTTTCTCGACTTTCCTGGAGTCATTTATTATGTTCCTTGTTATAATAAGTGCGTATCTATATTAAGACAGTATAGCTAAATAGCCCCACACCACGTCGCCGATCCAGTGTAAATAGCGCTACCTATAGCTCTAGCGATGATGGATTAGCCATTTGTAAATGTTTGATCTCGCACTAACAGGTCACATCTGTTAGTGTCATTGAAAAAAACGAACCGTGACAGGAAACGATCTTACCAAAAGGCAGTAACAGAAAAAGTTAAGCCAATGTTCCATCACTGGCCAAGACAATGGTATGCTCTGGTAGAAATGCAATACCGGAGTCTGCGCGGAATATATATAGACATTATTACGTGTGATAATAACGGGTAACAATATTACCCGTACTGAAAATTTTTGTCCTTACTTCTATGCGAGGATGAGGTGTTGCCTCAATTAACAATATACGTGCCGGCCGGCCGGCAGTACAAGTGTATCGTCGCTTCCGTTAGTGGCTATGAAAGGAGAGTAAATTGTTAAAATCGAGAGACTCGTTGTTTAGAGAAAAGCCAGATGATGGGCCAAACTGAAGGGTCAGGGCTTGTAATTATACCCTTGACTATATAGAGAGCCGCCACTGAAATGACAGTTCCTTAACTCGGCCATTGCGTGTGTACATCCATCAGCTTGTGCGAATAATAATCGATGTAGTAGGGACGACTCGTTAGTACCTGCACGAACGTTATTTGAGAAACTGCTCATTCGCAAACAGCGATAGTGACTGATGTGCTTAAAATCCCGCTGTGCTACCTACGCATGCGTCTCGACACAAGGCCATTTGCACTCTCATGGACGCGCGCGGATTTCCGGTTGACGCTCGTCTAGAGTTCGCCATAACCGAATCGTACACCCAATACTGGCGAGCCATCATTTGCTTGAAATTTTCCACTTGCTTACTGGGGCCCATTCGCCGATGCAGACGCAGACACTTCTCTACAAATCGCCGAGCTAAGAAATGATGGTTTTCGTGACGAATCGCATCACACTGTATATATATATAGACAGACACTCTGTAATCGACATGTTTAGCACACAACAAAGACACTTCATTACGACCACCGCGCACTAATTGCTTCAAGGTCGAGGCTTCGTTTTCGTTCCATCGTCACTTTCCTATAATCTATCATCCTCTAATGAAGTTGGCAAAAACTAAATAACGTGTGTTCATGAGCTGTTACTTCGTACGACACATTTTCATGAATAGGTCTGAAGGTATTACAAACGTGCGACGTACGATGCGCGCGACTTTCTAAACTTTATCTCGGATTTCTTCCATAGTTGGTTGATTTTATATTTTTCACAGATTACCCCTGTGAATTCAGCATCAAATTCAATATCTTTATTTGGTATCACGGTGGGGCGGGATTCTCTAATCACTAATCAGAAATTGCACCCTTCGCCTTATAATCACATGAGCTAATCTATCTTGTCACGGCTACTGGCCGTTCGGAAATCAGGCCTAGCCTCAAACGAGTTAATGCCCAGATATCGGCGATTGCTTACAACTGCATCGATTTGTCACATTGAATACAGTTTCCTTCCAAGAAATCAGGACACTTTACTAGCACTACCAGTTCAGCGGTTTAGCCTTCGTTGACACCATCTGCAAATAAGCACCTTCACGTGCCGTGCTACAGGACAATTTCATGTTTCGCACGTACATGCTGGGGCGAACGTATGAATAGCAATTAACGTTGTTTCAGTCCAGCGATTCCGGACATTGCACGCGCTGTTATTACCGTTATCAGTACCTAGTGTTGTCCTGCGGCGTGCGACTGATCATCGTGATTTGGGTATAATAACACCTCTCGATTTGATGTTATCGGTTGGCATCCTGATATGCAAGCAGGTCTGCATTTAGGTTCAATGGCATCGAACAGTCTGTACTTGAATAAAAATCATTTCGTTCTGGTTTCACGCGTCGGCAGGCTTTCTTAGCTTCAATTATGCCGCGCCCTTAAAAACGACAATCCGTCCACGCTTTTCCTAGGGACAAGATTATCGGTTATTCCAGGATAACATCGACGCTACTATTTATGCGTGGAGCTATGACGTATATCAAATTTGCTTCTTACCCTTGTAATTTAAACAATACGCAGGAAAATGAACTGAGAAAAATCTGTGGTTATATTGAGAAAGATTTTATCACAAACAAACTGTTCGATTTGACGGTTGTTCACTCAGATCTATAACTTAAGTCCGTGTCTCAGTGGTCAATGCGTTTCTACAGCTGTGCAAAATCTCATTCTCATTTTGTGCAGTCCTCTGAATTGGTTTACAAGATGGCCTTTCTTACATGAGGCGTGTACTTTACTTAGGGGAAGTGATGTTTGGGAATATATGTTCTGTTGAAGCTTTCATTCAGGTATCAACTTTTCGCTAGTTAGCAATTTATAAAGCATTAATTCAGTTTTGTCTTTCTGCATAAACTGTGTAGTACCTATGCATTCCTGTCAGACCTAGAAGATGCAGCATTGACCCTTTTCAATCAGAGATTTCAGATCAGAGACGCCTGAGCCAACCATCTGTATATTTAGGTGCGACTAAGTTTCTAATGATTCTGATGGACCAGCCTGATAAACCACGGGTTTGTCTTTGTTTGCATCGTTCTTATTGTTTCAAACGAGGCAGGTAGGTTATTCTGTCCTGCCATTCCTGCATTTGCTTTATACAGTCGCATATATAGCTTCCGCACCCATTTTTATTATTACTTTATTAGCTTTTGTTATGTCATTCGTCGGTCATACGTGTACGTATGGAAAGAAAATATAGAAAAAGTTTTTCCCGCTGACGATTGGCATACTTTAAAAATCGGAACAATATCGATGGTTGCTTGGGAGGTGGTTTGAGGAGGGGTTGCTTTGACAAATGTCGTTTAGATACGTCGCAAGGAACAATGCTCATGTTACGTTCGATATCTGACGCTACCTTCACTTCAACATGGCGATCTTTGCGTGTCACCTACTTCTTCTCCCTCGCAATGAAGCATTAAACTTTGAAGTAAGTTCCCGTAGTGAGTGGTAATCGAATAAAGTTTATGGGACGTTAATAAAGTCTATTGTTTGTTTAGAACACACGCATTCGACCGATCGTCTATTTAAGCAACTTCATATTTCGACAGCTTGTAAACCTAGGTGCGGCCTACACAACAGTACAAACACGAAAAAGCATTGTAGATATGAATATCAATTTACTCCAGCAAACGATGTAGAAAATCTTCTCACTTAGGCCTAAATA